CACCTCGACTTTTAACCTGCATTGAATTTGGCAGCGACGGCTCTTCGCGATCACTTTGTCTTTCTGATTGAATGGCTCAAAACCTCAAATGTTAAAAATGTAGCGTGACTTCTTTTTGCTCAGCCGTGTGTGCGTTTTTGTGTGACAATGCGACAAACAAACATACCCGTTCTTGGAGTACTCGGCCTGCAGTTCCTCATTTTTAGGGTGGAGAAACTGGATGAGGTGCACCGACTGGTTGACCTTCGGATCGCAGCTCAGCAATTCATTGCAGTACCTCTGCAAGGGCTTAAGGTAATTCAAGGACTTAGAGGTGCCATTCTTCTGCCCCGCTTTGGCTTTCTTTGTGACTGCAAGCATACGTGACACTCGGGTTAGGCTCTTAATTGCCTTCACCAAGGCTGAGTGAATGGGATGAGTGAATACCTTTAAATTTAGGAACAATTCTCTCTGATTTCTTCAGGCCAGGGAATGCTTTCTTGATCTGCTTCTGTTTAAACGAGACAACGCGGCACATTTAGCGACGGAAGCGTGAAATGCGATGAGATCATGAAAGAGAGGTGTTTTCCACGTACGTGCATTTTCTTGAAGTCCTCAACGGTCCTGTAGATGACAATCTCTTCCTCATCTGACCAAAGTACCGAGGTGATGTACATCTAGAGGAGGAAAACCGTCGCACGTTACAACTTTTGTTCCCAAAAGATTCAAAGTGAGACGATTGTCCGAGAAAAACAGGTGCCTTACTTTTTTCTTGTCCTTCTCCATCACTCCGGTTAAACGGATGCTGATGGGGTACCTCTGCGATGACATGACTTATCCAAAGTCGGACTACGCCCCGGATCGGCAAAATAAGGTCGCGTGCACTTCTGCGTGGCGTTTGACAATGCAACGCACAGATGCTCTGCCGGTGCATTTATACACGAGCCACCTGCAAAGGCGTGGCTGCTGACACCACAGTAGCAGTTGTGTCACTTACGGGAAAGTCCGACATTTCCTCAACCCTTGTCAAATTTAGTCATGTCACAAAAAGGCCAATTAATAAAACAGAGAGAGAAGAGGAAAAAAAGGGCGATGAAAAAAAAAA